ACACAGCACTCACACACATCACACTCAGCACTCACACACATCATACACAGCACTCACACACATCACACTCAGCACTCACACACATCATACACAGCACTCACACACATCATACACAGCACTCACACACACATACTGCACCCCTCACATACACACACAACCCCCCGATACACTGCATCACACACATACACAATACTTCCAAACATATTTATATTATATATATATATATATATATATATACACACACAGCACCCCTCACACACAGCACCCCTAAACACATTTCATTCCAGACACACACTAGATCCTCTACCCAACTCTGAATCATCTACACACACTAGATCCCTATATACACTCTGAATCCGTTATATACGCACGCTCACTAGATCTCCTATACGTAGTCTGGGTCCTTCACACACACACACACACACACACACACACACTCTGGATCCCCTATACGCACACTAGATTCATTGTAAGCAAACCCATACATTCCCTGAACACACACACACACACACACTATAGCCTGTATACACACACACACACACACACACACACTATAGCCTGTATACACACACTTGCTACATCCCCTATAGACACATTCTCTACAGCCCCTAGCCACATATGCATTACATTACACCACAAACACAACACGACTAAAACCGACCTTATTACACAATACCACACCACGACCAGCTCACTCTGCACACACGCAATACCACAAGCAGGCTCCAAACACATGCACAATACTCTTTCCTGGCCCTTTTGTCTCCTGGTATCCATTTATAGAGACACCAGAGACATGTTGCAAGGAAACACAGTGCAAGCATGTTATTAAATTTGCTTGCACTGTGCAAAACAAATACAGGGCTTTTTTCTCATGCTAGAGCTCTTCAGCAGAGCTCTGTGCATGGTCTGCCCTGGAAGAGCATTGAACCAACATGCTCACTTTGAGAGGGCGCGTGTTGTCATGAGTGATGACAAAACACACCCTCTCTGCCCCGCCCCCTTCGTAATGGGCCGCTGTGATAAAAAAATGCCCGGGCCGAATTTTTATCCCAGTCCGGCCCTGGGTCTGTGTGTTAGCTGGGAGGAGTGACATGCAGTCACTTCCTCCCAACCCTGTGATATAATCACAGGGGGCCCGGTCGCGCTGTTAAAGCGCCCAGCGCTGACTGGGCCCCCTCACAATCCACATCCATCAGGTGACCCTGACAGCATGGGTAGGGATTTTCTAATTTTGAGAGATTGGGTGGGCAGGCGGGTGCGAGCCGGCGGTACCCCTATGACCTGGTACCGCCATCACCACTTGTGGCCCCGGCCCGCGCGGCAAACCGCTGGGCCCGCATATGGAGCACCCAATCTCTCAAAATTAGAAAATCCCTACCTCCCACCTGGAATCCTGAAACGCCCACTAGTGGGCGGTAGGGACCAGGTTGACGACCCATGGGGAAGATTTAGAGCTGCAATGTAAACTAAGTGCAAAAGGGTCACAGCACCCAGACTACTTCAGTTAGCTGAAGTGGTCTGGGTGCTTTCAGTGACCCTTTAAGCCAACATTAATACATGTGTATGATAAATATTACAGGAACATTAAAAACTGTTTCCTATATATTAAATGTTCATTGATACGGCTGTACTGGACCTCCCACATTCACATAACTGTACACATTGCGTAACCCCAGCATTTGCAACTATTGAGAATCTGTTTCGCCTGCACATTATGCAGAACAGTCCTGCATTGTCAGATATATACACCTGGCTTATACTCGATTTATAGTTAGAGCACAACATATTTCATTAAATGAATATGAGTTTTGCATACAGACTGGTATTATGGGTAGAATTTCCCAAAGCATGCCCCCTGCACATCTGTTAAATTAAACCCAGCTGCCCTAGATATCTTTGGTTGGCACTATCATCTGAGCTGAACATTCCATCGCTTGTTACAGTGGCAGGAATGAAACGCGTTGGTGAATTGGCTCGCACTGTGATCAAGGCAGATGCCAAGCTTTTTATTAGGACGTGGTAAATCAGACATTTAGCCCTGTACCTAAGTTTACTAGTAGAATGGAGAAAGCATGTCCTGCTTACTAATACAGCATTGATTGCCATTCTGCAATTAGACCATCCTCCTCGTATGTCAGTCATTTTTCATAAATCAGTTATGACAGCGTGGAGTTTGTTCCTGAGCAAGTACTCAACGTTAGAGACTTCCATCTCCAGAAATGTATTGATCCAGGCAGCTCATCGCCCGCCTACATTAGTCAGCGGCAAGAGGAAATCCTAGAAAGGGGTTATCTGCTAAACAGTGAGCTGCAAGGTTGCAATCAGAATAAAATCACCATCTTCACTGAGAGAAGATTTATTGTCAACTTGCAAATCACTTGTAAACTCACTGTTATAGTAAATACAATTCGATAAGCGTTGTTCCCTTTTATTTGATAAACATTGTAATTGTATTAGCACATTCTCAAATGTAATGTTATCTTAGGAAATATCAGGTAAGAAGCAAAACAATAAGTGGGGGATTCTAATAAAACATCCTAAATATAATATACATACACTGTATACCTACTGTACCTCCATCTATTGTAATGTAACCTGTAAAGTGCTGAGTACACCTGTTAGCGCTATATAAATAAAATATACATACACTGTATACCTACTGCACTTACTGTACCTCCCTCTACTGTAATGTAACCTGTAAAGTGCTGAGTACACCTGTTAGCTCTATATAAATATAATATACATACAATGTATACCTACTGCACTTACTGTACCTTCCTCTACTGTAATGCAACCTGTAAAGTGCTGAGTACACCTGTTAGTGCTATATAAATAAAATATACATACGCTGTATACCTACTGCACTTACTGTACCTCCCTCTACTGTAATGTAACCTGTAAAGTGCTGAGTACACCTGTTAGCGCTATATAAATAAAATATACATACACTGCATACCTACTGCACTTACTGTACCTCCCTCTACTGTAATGTAACCTGTAAAGTGCTAAGTACACCTGTTAGCGCTATATAAATAAAATATACATACACTGTATACCTACTGCACTTACTGTACCTCCCTCTACTGTAATGTAACCTGTAAAGTGCTGAGTACACCTGTTAGCGCTATATAAATAAAATATACATACACTGTATACCTACTGCACTTACTGTACCTCCCTCTACTGTAATGTAACCTGTAAAGTGCTGAGTACACCTGTTAGCGCTATATAAATATAATATACATACACTGTATACCTACTGCACTTACTGTACCTCCCTCTACTGTAATGTAACCTGTAAAGTGCTGAGTACACCTGTTAGCGCTATATAAATAAAATATACATACACTGTATACCTACTGCACTTACTGTACCTCCCTCTACTGTAATGTAACCTGTAAAGTGCTGAGTACACCTGTTAGTGCTATATAAATAAAATATACATACACTGTATACCTACTGCACTTACTGTACCTCCCTCTACTGTAATGTAACCTGTAAAGTGCTGAGTACACCTGTTAGCGCTATATAAATAAAATATACATACACTGTATACCTACTGCACTTACTGTACCTCCCTGTACTGTAATGTAACCTGTAAAGTGCTGAGTACACCTGTTAGCGCTATATAAATATAATATACATACACTGTATACCTACTGCACTTACTGTACCTCCCTCTACTGTAATGTAACCTGTAAAGTGCTGAGTACACCTGTTAGCGCT